CAGCCTTTGTCTCTAGACAAAATGGCACCGATTCAGCTCTAGGCGGCTGACTAGGCTGTAAAATCCACCCTGTTCCTACACTGCCCATCTGGGATCTGCCACTCTATTTCTGCTCCTGGTGAAATCAAACAGACCAGCAGGACGGGCAGTTCTTTGTCTGGGTTCACCTCCTGAGCTCCCAGTGAAAGTCCTTTTCCACCTTATTGCTGGTGGAGTTCCGGCTGTTTGCTGAATGCTGCTTGGTATCAGTCACTGCAGCCTCACACAGTTATATCCACTGCTTTCCCGTGTCTGTCGGTCTCCAGGTGCCCCTCTGCTGTCATTCTGTCCTCTCCTATTTCCTGAAATGTGTCCTCTCTGCTTCACACTCGCTAATGTTTCTCCATCTGTTTAAATGTGTCCTTACCCTATCCTGCCATCTTAATTTCTCCTTAACCCTTTTTTGAAAAAAAGATGTATTTATTTATTTTTATTTGAGAGAGAGCAAGGGAATCACATAGAGGGAGAGACATCTTTTACCCGTTAGTTCACTCCAAGATGGCTGCAGTCTCAGGGCTGGGCCTGGCCGAAGCCAGGAGCTTCATTTATTTAGGTTAAGGAGGGGTAAATGGACCCAGGACCTCGTCATCTTCCACCACGCTTCCAGGCATATTAGCAAGGAGTTAGATCAGAAATAGATCAGTTGGATCTTGAACCGATACCCATGTGGAATGCCAGGCATCACAGGGGGAAATTTAACCTACTAGCCATAATGTTGTCCCCTAAATTAACCCTTAAATTATTTATGGTCATTTGATTCCATGCAAGAGTGCTAAAGCAATTCACTGGGAAAATGACAGTTTTTCCAACAAATGTTACTGAGATAACTGGATATCCATGTGTCAAAAGATGACTGTAGACCATCAACTCAAACCCTACACACAAAAATCAACCCAAAATGGGCCCAGAGACTTAAATGTCAGAATCAGAACCCAAAGCTTCTAAGAGAACATCCATGAGAACAATCACTGAGACCTCAGTCTTGGACATTTATTTGTTTCAACCATGAACACATAATTCATAAATTTCAAAATTAGCAAGTTGAATTCTCTCAAAATTAAAAGCTTTTGCATTTCAAAAGAAATTATTTTGAAAAAATGAGAAAACAAGCCTTGGGTTTGTGGAAAATATTTGCAAATCATGCAATACAAGGTTTTACAAAGAACTCTTGCAACCCAATAATGAGAAGACAGGCAATCCACTTTTCAAATAGGCAAAAGATCTAACAGGGAATTTCACCCAAGATGTAATACAGTTAACAAGCTCATGAAAATCACCCCCTATGTGAATAGAGCAATACAAAATAAAACCATGAGACAACAGCTCTCTCTTACCGACGGTCACAACAAAAAAGAAGAAGCAATGCCGACAAGGCTATAGCGCAACAGGAGCCATCAGACGCTGCTGATGGGAACAGGGGCACGGCCACTTCAGAAAACAGTGTGGCAATCACTTCTCTGTTTTACAGGGCACTGCGTTACTGAAACATTCTTAGCTATGCAGCAGCCCTGACCACCTTTCGTCTTCGTACATATTTTCATCTTGCAAAACTGTAATTCTATAACTCATTAAACAATAACTCCTCATCTCCCAACCTCAAGCCCTGGCAACCATCCGTCTACATTTTGCCTCTACGGTTTTTTTAAAAGCTGATATGAGGAATCATATACTCTTTGACATTTTGTGACTGGCTTATTTCCCCTAACATAATATTCAGAAAACTCATGCATATGGCACCATGTGATAGGACTTTCTTCTCTGGAAGGCTGAGCATATCCCACTGTTAGCAGATACCACAATGTGCTTACTCATTTCATCGCTAAAGGGATACTTGCATTGTTTCACCTTTCCAGTTACTGTGAATAATGCCATGACTGTCAGAAAACAAATGTTTCTTTAAGACCCTTTCTTCAACTTTTTAAAGTAAATACCCAGAAGAAAAATTCTGGATCAAAGGATAACTTTATTTTTAAATTTTTGAGGAACAACAGTGCACAAAGTTCTCATTCGCCTCTCCTTGCTGACACTGTTTCTGTGTTTCTGCAGAGTAGCCATCCCAAAGGATGAGCAAGACTTCCTTGTAGTTCCAATTTGTATCTCCCTACTTACATCACCATGGCCTAGAGGCTAAAAGTCCTTGCCTTGAACACGCCAGCATTCCATATGGGTGCCAGTTCTAATCCCGGCTGCTCCACTTCCCATCCAGCTCCCTGTTTGTGGCCTGGGAAAGCAGTCGAGGATGTCCCAATGCTTTGGGATCCTGCACCATGTGAGAGGAAGTTCCTGGATCCTGGCTTCGGATCAGCACAGCACTGGCAGTTGCAATCACTTGGGGAGTGAATCACCAGACAGAAGATCTTCCTCTCTTTCTCTCCTCCTCTCTGTATATCTCACTTTCCAATAAATATAAATACATAAATAAATAAATGAATAAAATATTTTTAAAAAGAAGCTGCTTTCAATGCTGATATCCCAGATGAATGTTGATTCAAATCTCAGCTGCTCCACTTCTAGTCCAGCTTCCTGGAAATATATCTGGGAAATCAGCAGATGGCATAAGTACATGGGCCTCTGCCACTTGGGGAGTGAACCAATGGAGAGAAAATCTCTCTCCCCTTTCCCTCTCTCTATAACTCTGCCTTTTAAATAAGTAAGTAAATAAATGAATAAATCATATTAAAAGAAAGGAAAAGAATATGTGCTCTGTCTTTGAGCAAAAGTGAACTCAGAGAAATACAAAGTCTTCTAGAAAGGAACACCAAGTCTGGCTGGAGAGGAGAGGGGAGGGCTTTGCTCACCAGACAAAAGGAGAACTTCTGGTAAGTTTTCTCCAGGGTGTCACCAGACCCAGACCTGTTCATCAGCATCCTACCTGTTATTCATATCTGCCTTCTGTGTTCTCTCTCAGTCTCCTTCCTTTCTAGCAAGGTGAGAGCCAACAATCCCTGTGTGAGGCAGGTGCTTGGCTCAGCAGTAACAATGTCCACAGACCACATCAGAAGACATGGCCTTAATTCCAAACTTGGCTTCCATTTTCCAGCTTCCTGATAATGCAGACCCCAGGAGGCAGCAGAGTATGATTTAAGTAGGTCCCTGCCATTGACATGGGAGACCTGCTTTGGACTCCCAAGAGCCCACCCTTTATGTATAGATATTTCATTTGTAGTTTTGGTTACCTAGGTGTAAAGATCTTACATTGAGATGAGCACGATGGCTCAAATGGTTAAATTCTCCCCTTGCACCCATCAGTATCTCATATGAGTGCCAGTTCCTGTCCTGGCTGCTCCACTTCCCATCCAGCTCCCTGCTGGTGGCCTGGGAAGGCTGTGGAGGATGGCCCAAAGCCTTGAGATCCTGAGCCTGAATGAGAGACCAGGAATAAGCTCCTGGCTTTAGATGTCTTCCTCTCCAGCCATTGTGGTCACTTGGGGAGTGAACCAGGGAATGGAAGATCTTTCTCTCTGTCTCTCCTTCTCCTTATAAATCTTATCTGCCTTTCCAATTAAAATAAATCCTTCTTTTTAAAAAAAAAGTGACTGATTAAAAAGCAAGAATGGGAGCAGGCATTTGGTAGAGTAGCTAAGGCAGTATTTGGAACACCCACAGCCAATATTGGAGTACTTGGCGCTACTTCCAATCCAGCTTCATGCTAATGCAGACCCTAAGAGGCAGCAGACAATGGCTCAAGGACTTGGGTCCTGTCCACTCAGGCGGGAGATCCAGACTGAATTCCTAGCTCTTGGCTTCAGCCTGACCCAGCCTGACCCCGCCTAATCCAGCCTGATCCAACCTTAGATACTACAGGCATTTGGGGAGTGAACTGGCAAATGAAAGATCTCCAGCTCTTTCTAACTTATTTCAAAATAAAAATAAGCTTTAGTAATTACATAAAAAGAAGGCTTGAGTGACTACCACATTCCAGGAACCACTGGCCTTTACACACTCTTCCAGTACCAAGAATCTTTATTACTCAGAAGCCATGAGATAAAACAGATGGGCTTGAAGACTAGATCATGAAGTGGCACCAAATCAAGTATGTATTCAAAATACTCCTCCTAATCTACAAAAGCTAATGTGCTCGTCCAAGGGTTCGGAGGCAGTGGTTGGTTGGTCACTAGGTGGGTTTGAGTCCTGCTCATATTCAGATGAGTTCCCACCACAGTTATGCACATGCTACAGAGTTGTAAGCCTCTTGCCACCAACACGCCTGTGAAGGTCTGGTCCAGAGGTTGGGAAGTCAGGTGACTTCACGCATTAGGAACATCTCCCTGAGCTGGGTCACTATAAATGTTAAGATTGCTCATCCAACCCAAGATAGACACACAGAGACAGTGACCAGGAGGATGCAAAGTGGGATGGAACACAGTAGGGGGAGGGGTAGGAGATTGGACTTCCACCTGTAGCCTATGACACTGATCACAAGTCCCTGGGCCTCAGTGTTCCCATCTGTCAAATGGGTGGATGTGACTGGCTCCAAGCTCGTACCATGTATAGAGATTTCCCCTCGAGAGGACCACCTCCACCAGTGAGTGCCCAGTCTGTGGTCTGAACTCTACAGCTCACAACACTGAGCTAATTCCCAGCAGGCAGAGTCCACTCTTTGAGTGCACTGAGGGTTACAATATCCCTCTGCACACACCTTTTCTGCGTGAACTCTGAACTTGCAACTCCGATGATAAGGCAGGATGCCTTGGAGTATACCCTAAAGCTGGGTGTCAGCTGCTCCACTCCCAATCCAGCTCCCTGCTAACACATCTGGAAAAGCAGCAGAAGGTGGTCCAAGTGCTTGGGGAGATCTGGCCCAGCCTTGGCCTTTATAGCCATTTAGGTAGTGATCCAGCAGACGGAAGGTTCTCTTTCTCTTTCACTCTGCCTTTCAGATACATCTTTAAAATTTTTGGCGAGTTAAGGAGCTGGGTTGTGCCCTGCTGGCTCTCCCCCAACAGCCCCAAGTCACTCACCCTGGCAATGCCTGCCTTCCCCGCGGTAGCCAGGCTTGCAGGAGCACTTGTAGGAGGTGGGTGTGTTCTGGCACAGGGCATCAGCATGGCAGTCATCTAGCTCCTGGGCACACTCATCCACATCTGTAAGACAGCACAGTGACCGCTGCAAATGCTGCTCCAAGAAAACCTGTGTGACCGTCCCCAGTCCCTCCCTAGCACTGACTGCCCTTTGTCCACCCCATTCCCGCCACCCATGCTGGCCAGCCCAGGGATGACCCATACCACTGTCAGACATGGTCTGTTGCCTCTGCAATTCCCCATCCCCACCACCCTCTCTACAGGCCTTGGAGATTTAACTCTACTCCACCTCCTCCAGGGAGCCTGCCACTTGTTCGAGGTGTGGGGAGTATCCCCTTTTTCACAACACCACACACAGAGCTTTTGTTCTATTTTCTCACCTGACAACAGACAAGCCAGCCCCTACCTGGGACACGAGAAGCCCGTGTGAATGCCTGCTGAACATTCTGGAAAGTTGGCAGCTGTCAGTCCTTCCAGGACCAGGGGTGCAAGAGAGCCTGACCCTCTCCCCCACCTCAGCCCCATTCCCCCTCTCAACCGGGAAACCCGCCCCAGTGCTGACACCACCCCTAGGTGCGGATCTGCAACTCAAGTGGCCTCAGTGTCCTGCGCCCAGAGCTCTGCCCCCCAGCGGCCTAAGGCTACCCCTGGCCCCTCCAACAGCGGCTGCGCGCGCTCCACAGCTCGCCAAGTGCCAGGGAGCCTAGCGCGAAACCCGCAGGAGCGCTTCGCGGCCCCAGAGGCCAAGAGTGCGGGCACGGCTGCACAGCCTCAGGCACGGTGCCCGTCAGGCCCTTGGGCTCCACCCCGCCGGCACAAGCCCTGGGGTGCTCCTCGCACTGCTCAGCCCTGGGCTGCTGGGGCCAGGGCGGGAACTGTCAACCGGCCGGGTCCGAGGCCAGCTGTGAGAGACCCAAGCCCTGCGCCTAGGGAGGGCCCGAGCCGCGGCGGCGTCTCAGCCCCGCCGGTGTGGGTGAAGGCTCCTGAGGGCTGCGTGGACCCTCTCAGGACGGACCCGGGAACTCCTTCTCTGAGCCACAGAGCCGTGCCAGGTGCGCCCCAGGCTGGACACTCACCCTCTGGCGGCCCCTGGCCGGGAAGGACGGTGGCCGCCAGCAGCGGCAGCAGCAGCAGCAGGATCTGTAGCAGCGCCGGGGCGGGCCCGGGGAAGCCGCGGCCCGCGACCCCCATGGCAGGCGCAGCGGCAGAGGCAGTGGCGGTGGAGCACGGGAGGCGAGCGTGGCGAACGCAGCAGTGGCTCCGGGAGGTGTGCGGGCGCCCTGCCCGGCGCGCTCCTGGCGGACCCGGCCCCGCCCGCCCCCCGAGCCCCGGCCTCATTTTCACACGGTCCTCCCCGGGGCCAGGGCGGGCGGCGCAGGGGGCAGTGCCGCCCCTTTTGGCGCCCCTCCCTGCCCGGGCAGAGGGCGCGGCCACCGGGCCCGAGGGCGAGGGCACTGTCAGCCCCTCAGGGCGGGTCGTCATGCCCTCCACCCAACCCGCGCCCTGAGCAGCTGGTAAGCCCTGCCCCCATGCTGGCCACATCGCGCGGGGCACCCGGCTCCTACCTCCCTCTGCCTTTGCTGCGGCCTCCAACTTGACCCGGTCCTCAGGTGTGGGGACCCTCAGCTGTTCTGGCAGGAAACACTGAGACACACCTCCTCACATCACAAGCGTCCTGTCAGTTCACCAACCCCAACGCCATTTTGGGGTTCTCCCCTTCCAGGGAGGAGGTGCAGGTGGCTGGAGGGGAATGGGAGCAGTGGGCCTTCCTGGTACACAGGTGGCTGGAACCCTGTATCCTTAGCAGCTCTCTGGGGACAGAGTCGTTCTCAAGGCCCTCAAATATGGTGTGCAGTGAGGCTCTCTGGCCCATATTGAATCCACCTTTTCCTAGTTGGTTTGATGTTGTTAGTATTCTCATATTCTCCCTCTCTGTGCTCTTAGGTAGTCAGGGGGGAAAAAAGAATGTCACAAAAATTGTCCACCTGGTTCATGCACAAAAACACATAATAAACACCTAAGACTTCGCTTGGAGCCCTCCACCCTCAGAGCTGCCCAGAGGTCCCAGCCCCCAAAGGGGGTGTGGCAGATGGAGTATCTGAGAAAGTAACTTTTCTGTGCTTGCTTTCTTTCAGACCTTTTCATGGCTGGCGCAGACAGACAGGTTGCATCCCTCTCTCCTCTGCTTCTCCCTCCCACCCTCCACCCTCTTTTGTTGGGTGCCAAGAGGAGTGCTTAGCTATTTCTGGCCAATGGGATGGATGTTACCCATTTGTAAATCTTCACTTAGTGAAACGTTTTCTCGTCCCCCCTGCCTTTGTCTCTGCATCCTTAATGGTGGCCATAAATTACCGCCACCTTTTCTCTCGGCTGTAGCAGGCTTCATTGCTCTTGAAATGATCAAAGTTATTTCTTTTAAGATCCAACTTGAAACTGCCCATTGTGTGCTCCACAGACCTCGTTAGCGCCAGTCAAAGCATACAGCTACATAAAGCTGCCCATTAAAGTCTAACAAGGCCTTCTCAGCCCTCTAGGCCTGTTCAAGAAATAAGATGTGGGCTGTTTATTCTTTTCCCTGTTTTTCCCTAAATTGATACAACAGCAGGAACACTAATAACAAGAGTGGGTGTTTTGCTTTGTTTTGTTTGGAGATATAGTCTTAAAACATTCATCCTCTCCGGAAAAGTCCACCACTGGCACAGATCTCAAAAAATATTGTGAATCTCTTCCATTTTCCCTTACTTTCACCCAAACATGCATTCTGCTGGTTGGCTCCTGGAGTCCTGGACCACCTCTCTGAGACTTGAGATTAAAGTAACGTGGTTTACATGTGAGAAAATCCACTGGAGAAAGGTTGCCAGAGCCAAGCTGGATTCAGAGGTCCAGGCATCCTGGCCATGCCCCGGCTGCTGTCTGCTGCACAGCTGAGGTTCTCACCAACTTCCTGGGCTGAAGCTGACACTTCCACTCCCTCTCCTTGCAGGCTGAGACGCTGTGAACTGTGTCTGGGTTTGCAGGAGAGGCTGCCTGGCCAGCCCAGGCTCTGTGGGCAAACCGGGAGAGCCTGCGTGAACCTGCATTCCCAGAAACCCAGCACCCATCTTCCCTAACCCCTCAGCAGCCTCTGGGGTACTGTTTCTTGCCTGTGCAGAGAGTTCCCTTCCCTGGCTCAAGCACCTAGAAAATTCCTTCTCCATCATCTTCTTGGCATCTTGTCTTTACATCCTCTCCCTGGGTGTGTCACTCAATCTCTCCATTCCTGAGTCTGCCCCTCTCCCTCCCCCAACCCAGTCCCATGCATCAAATTGCAGCTGGATGGTGACCCTGACTCTATAGGTCCCTCCAATCCCAGTGTTCAAACTAGGGCTCATCTTCTTCCCTGAGCTCGCTTCTGCTCTCTTTTAGAGAAGAGCCCTGCTGTTCTGCCCACACCCTATCAGAAACCTGGACCCTAGTCTCTTTCCCTGCCCACTCAATCTGGACAGGCCAATCAATTCCACCCTCCTACCACTTCTCAAAACCATCCCCTCTCTCACCGTGCCTGATGCCTGAGCCCAGGGCCTCAACAATCCACCTACTTTGGGATTCCTCGCTGGTCTCACCCCACTTTGAACAAGCACATCATAGGATGTTCACTTGATGGGATGAACAAGCTCTGATACATGCAGCACCTCGGGACATCTCATGAACCCCATGAGGAGTGACAGCAGCCAGACAGAAAAGGGTACATATTCTGTGAAGTTTAAGATGCAGAACTAATAAACAGTGGAGCGGCAGTTCCCTCTGGGGATGGGGACTGATTTGAGAAGGAAATGAAGGAATTTCCAAAATGGCAGACAGCTTCTAAATCTTGACCCGCATGGTGATTATGTGGGTTTATACACATGTAAAATTCGGAACAATGGGATCAGCTTAATACACTTTCATGCACTTTGATGCAGCCGTGTTTTCCCTCAATAAGCACACAGACGCAGGCCTGTGGTCACTGCTCCTCTCCTTCCCAGAGACACTGCCCTGGTGACCTCAGACTTGTGCTAGTGCCTTGCTGTTCCTCCCTCATCCCTCCCCTGTCTCATGCTGCTCCCTTTGCAAGAAGCAGGCCTTCACAGACATTGGAAAACACTAAGACATCGGTTGCTGAATCAACAGCGTTGTACCCCAAAGAAGTTTCCTGAGGCATTCCCTAAAAAAGCAATGATTTACCGGCGGGACGTGTGGGTCTTCAGGAGAGCAGGTCCATAGAGTTTCTGCAGAAGGGAAACATCCCCTGCTCTTGTACTCACAACTTCTCCTTTGAGGATGGCTGTGTCTCCTGGGCAACTTTTCTGGGAAGCCTGAGTTGGATGTGAGGTGCTGCTTTGTCCCTATACCCTAGAGCAGTGCTGACGCCTGGGACTGTGTGGCTAGGGAGGAGTTGCGTATGTTGTTTTTTGTTGACAAGCAGAGTTACAGAGTTCCAAAGAAGGAGAGGCAGAAGCAGGTATCTTGGGGTTGGCATTGTGGCTCAACGGGTTAATCCTCTGCCTGCAGCACTGACATCCCATGTGGATGCGGTTCATGTCCTGGATGCTTCACTTCTGATTGAGCTTATGGTCTTGCAAAGCAATGAAGAATGGCTCAAATTGGGCTCCTGCACCCATGTGGGAGACCCAGAGGAAGCTCAGCTCTGGCCATTGCAACCCTTTAGGGAGTAAATCAGTGGGTGGAACATCTTTGTCTCATTCTGTCTGTAGACCTACCTTTCAAATAAAAATAAATAAATCTTTCTTAGAGAGAGAAAGAGAGAATCTTCCATCTGCTGTTTTACTCTCCAAATGGCCACACTGACATGCAGTTTATCTCCACTTGCAGCATGTAAGCACAACTACCTTATTAGACTTTATTTACAAAAAGGAAGTTCAAAGATAAAACGATTTGGAATTTCACATGGCTATTTGGGGAGTGAGCCTGCAGATGGAAGATCTCTGTTCATCTCTTGCTTTCTATGTAATTCTTTCAGGAGAAATAAATAAATTTTAAAAATAATAAATGGAGAGTGAAACCCATCATGGAAGGTTATCTTATAAAAGCAGTTATAAAAACAAAACCCTGAGAATCCCAAACAGCAAAAGAGCCATGCAAATAAAATTGGTCCCAGAAGAGGGAGAAATGATGGAGGCCAGTTTGTATGTCAAGGAGCTTCCTACTCATAAACAGCAACAGGCCCAGGGAGCATCACAGGGGGACTTGTGACAAACCTGTACAAAGCAGGTAAGTCTAGAGCATTTAATTATTCAAGAGCATAAGGAAAAACCTTTCAATTCTTTCTGTAACAAAGGTATATCATTGATCCAAAATGTAGTAATACTATACATTAGAAAAGTTGTAAAATAAAGAAAGGAAGGAAGGAAAGAAGGAAGGAAGGAAGGAAAAGAGAGAGAGAAAAGGAAAGGAAAGGAAAGAAAAGAAAAGGAAAGGAGACGAGAAAAGAAAGAAGAAGCTTTATGGGCTAAGCATGATAGCTCAAGTAGCTAGTCCTCCACCTATAAACACCAGGATCCCATATAGGCACCATCTGTCCTGGCTGCTTCACTTTCCAAACAGCTCCCTGACTGTGGTCTGGGAAAGCAGCAGAGGATGGCATAAAGCCTGAGGACCCTGTACCCGTGAGGGAGACCCAGAAGAAGCTCCTGGCTCCTGGCTTCAGATTGGTACAACTCCAGCCATTGCAGCCACTTAGGGAGTGAACCAGTGGATGGAAGCTCTTTCTGTCTCCCCTTCTTTCTAGAAATCTGCCTTTCCAATGAAAATGAATATATTTAAGAAAAAAAAAGAAAGAAAAGCTGTAGCACTTATGGCCATCAATGAAAAGTCCTCAATAAAAAAATTATTACCATGACTAAGAGAGACATATTTCAGAGGGTAAAAATGGTTGATGATTAGAAAATTAATTCTCTGTTCATCTCTTGCTTTCTATGTAATTCTTTCAGGAGAAATAAATAAATTTTAAAAATAATAAATGGAGAGTGAAACCCATCATGGAAGGTTATCTTATGTGAGTTAATAAGGTTATCTTATAAAAGCAGTTATAAAAACAAAACCCCGAGAATTCCAAACAGCAAAAGAGCCACATTGTGACAGATTTTAAAAGGCAAAGCATATAATTTTTCCACAGACACTTAAAGGGTATTTGAAACAACATTCATGATTTT